AAATATTGTCACCAAATATTACTTCATTTTTGGTGAGAAAAATACTGTTTTAACGTGGGAAAAGGCAGATAACAGATGTTACTTCCTTTCACAGAAGAGTACATCCTCTGACTTTCCCTTATCTGGTTAAAATCCTGCTCAGATGGGAAATGGTTACCCCTCATTCATTCCCCTTTCATCCGTTCTCATGAAAGAGTTACTGGCTGATGATTGGTCAGTATTCCGAAGATATACAGGGAACTTGACAGAATTCTGGGAGTTCAGCGACAGATCCGAAAGCGTCCAAACTCCACATACGTTTCCCTCCTGATGACCAACGTCGTTAGACGAGTCACATACAGAATAAGTCTAGAGTCTGCACATAGAAGTGATACCTTTATATTTGTGCACATAGTGATCTCCCATACGAAGAAGTAAATGAACTTTATCTCCAAAGTTACATACAGAGATGAAGACGAACGACAACTAAACAGGTCGTATGTTTTATAATGATTTGTGAGCTCTCTCTCTCGATCGCGAATAGGGTATAATATAAGTTTAATTATCTCCTGATTTGTATATTAGTTGTAGTAGTTCTATCTCTCGTTCATTTATATGGTTGTATGAGTTTATTTCCTTGTTTTATTAAATTTATTATATCGTTTTTAATTGGGATGTCTCTTGTTTGCGTGACCGAGTCAGATCGCATACGCATGTTAATCCACGTATAATAAGATTGATTAACTGGTGTCGGGACCCTGACAATTTGGGATAAAGACTTCACAGTCTTGAATCCCCTTTTCCTAAATATTACCGCCCTCCTATAAAAAGTTTAGAGAGCCGATCACACGATCGTGCGCCAGTAAGTGATATAGGTAATTTACTTATACCCTTGGCTACTCTCACAATACCTATATTGTAATTTGTTAAATTATACATATTCTAAATCAGTGATGAGCAACCTTTCCTGGAAATGGCCACAACTGAACTTCATAAGCTTCTGGTTGGCTACATGCATTTTTTCTTACAGAGTGGAAGTATTTAAGTTTGCCGAGTGCCGACATATTTCATAACTTCCGGTGCGCTATATACGAAAATAACACAAGCTAGTAATATTCAAACCAGTAAAAAACAGTTTATTCTTTTCAATAATTTAATTTGAATGTTCTTTGTCACAAATATCAAAAATTAATTAGAGTCGCATAACAATACAAGGAAAAATAAAATTATGCTGCCAAATTTCTGGGGAATGCAAATTAGAATATCGCAGGCCACGTGGCCCCAGACTGCTCACAACTGGTCTAAATTGTATTGTGTTAAATAAATATTGCTTCACTAAAACCAACTACTACAAGTATCTTGCATAAAGTTACATGTATGATTGATGTATTTTCTTTCCCACAGGCCAATGCAAGAACAGAGCATCTAAAAACGGGTTTCTCACTTGGAGCATGTTTCATTTTTTTTAACCATATGTATACAGCATGTTTGGAAAATAATTATTACATGCATATGAATTATTAGGCTGCAATTTGAAAAACTTGTAGGCCTATAAATTCCCACTGTCATCTGTCTGTCTGTCTTTCTTTCCTTAATATTGAGAATGATGTTCAATAAATTATTCAAGACGAGATATGAAACGCTTGGCAAGAGGTTCCAATTAACTATTTATGAACTTCTGATGCAAACCTGAAGTTACGTTATTTCAATTCAAAAATTTTTCCCTGAAAGGGTAAACGACTGGCACAACTCTATTGTTAAAGTATGATGTACAGGGGCAAGACACTACTAATTTGAGATGGATAGCATATATTTTAAATTAAATAATCTAAAAATATAATTAATAAGGCATTGTGACAATATCACAATAAATAATTGCTCTGGTACTTTTGAAACCGTGCTTGTAGTTATTAGTAGTAATTCAAACACAAATAATTATCGTATTTATCTTCAGGCACTTGGCAATACTCATCATCAAGTTTTATTNATAACTAGTGACTAGAAAAAGTGTTTTACAAAATATGTTCCACTAATCACACTGTTTTATGATATTTTTTTTTTTTTAACAAAAACAATTAAAGGATAATCGATAACAGCTATAGTAGAGAATTCTTTAGTTAAATGTTAATATGGAATATTAAAAGATTTTTTTTTTCACTTTGATCAATATCACCAGACAATTTATCATGAATATAGAAAAGCTTGGAAGTCTAATTCTTGCCTCATGACTCCTGTGAGAATGAATTCCGCATTGTGAACACCTACAAACCAGTTTAAGAAAGGACTATTTAAAATCTAAACCTCGGAAATTTTTCAAAAGATACCTAAGGGTCACTCACCTATTTTTCTTAAAATATAATCTCTGCATAAATGCAAGTCGCCGTCGCAGGTAATGACGGCAAATTTCGTTCCCGCCTATAATGAGAAATTAATATAAATTATCGAGAAAGTGAGCAAATAAAACGACGGACATCACACGGAATGCTACCTGAGACATAGCTGCTATCTGACGGAATGTCGGCCGACGTTTCAAAACCACCGTTCCGCCTCCACATTCGACTATCTCTTTCAAGATGCTGGGAGAGGGATAAACTCCGGGCGTAACAAACAATACAATACCCTGTTGTAAAATGGATAAAACAGAAGATAAATTGAAAATAGAAAAGTAATATTTTATACTAATTTCGGATTTAAAAACTTGCCTTAAAAATTGGCGTCCTATTTTGTCTGAGGAGCGTCTGCTTTAAACAGAAACCAAACATTTTCTCCCCTTCCACATCATGTAACATATATGGTTGCTCGTCTGTTATGAAAAGAATGGCATCGTGTAAGTTGTGGGAAAGTTTTTCTTATAATTATGATCGATTTTAAATTACGTTCTAATTAAAGAAATCACACTTAAGATCCAACAAGATCCATTTACAGTGAATTATGTAAAATGTATCATTAAAGAATTGGGAAATATTTAATCTTCAAATGAGCTGTTTGAAACTTTTAAGTGTTTTAGATGTTTTGGAATTAAATTTTACAAAAATTTTATACAGGGTGCATAGTAAAGGTCTTATATACTCACATAAGTGAACAACACAGATATCTAAAGGTGTGAAGGTGATGTTTAGTTGTAGTAAAGGGAATGTACACTACAAGACGAGACCACTTGCAACACCCGTAGTGATAAAATTCAAAAGTTAGCATCTCTATCTTGAAAACAGTGCACCTTATGGAAAAATGTGAATTACAAAGTTGTAGAGCAATGCTGATTTAAAATGTCTTTTATTCCCCAGAAATATACCCTAATCCTTATTTGAGTGAAATGGAATTGCAGACTCAACATAGACAAAGGAAGGAAATTGTTATTTATGAAGTATAACCTATGCTGCTCCATGAGAGACACACTATGTCATCTAAGCAAATTGTGTAATGTGATATTTAAATATAATAAATTTCAAATAAGACTCACCAACAAATCGATTCTGTTTAGCACTTTCAGTTAACCATTCACTAGTTACGACGTATTTTACAACATTAATGGCACAGAGGAACTTTACCGTACGAACGAAACGATTTGAAATGAGATGAGTGCACTCTTTTGGTACTGAAGTGACGGTGCCACCAAGTTGCCACACCACCTGAAATTTTTTAAAAAGTATTTCCCGCTTTTAATTGATTCTATTACTACTATTTAATTAAGTATATCGTAATTATTTTATTACACGTTCAGAAATTAAAAATTACCTTAGCTAATTGAACCATCTGTTTGACGCCAGTGAACATCACGTGTGGTTTGGCACTGTCTGGAGGCGGATGATTTGTCGTAAGTGGAATATTTTCTTCTAATACTGGCCTAAAGCAATTAGTTGTTAAATTTTAATAAATTACTCAAAACAGAAATTTACAGGTTATAGATAAAAGAAATACATTAGAATATAGCTTATAATTCAATCTTTTCAGTTTGTGCATGGTCTCAGCTGCAATCTGTATTTGTCATACATTTGTCAAATGATTTAATTATCAAACATTGAAAAATGGCAGCTTGTGGAATATGTTCAAATTGCCTCTCTATGAGGGAACTCACACAATACTCTGTTAGCTAAATTAACACAATTCAAGATTTGCCAACAAATATTAGAATACATTTGTAGTGAAATACATTAAATCACAATTTTCTTTCTGTATATAGAACAGCCGATGGCCAAGACGATAAAAGCACCAGCACATAAATCCGAATTCCAACCAGTCAGGTTGGAATTCGGATTTTCGTTTGGATGCCCTTAAATCTTCATTACTAGTTTGATTTGAATCAGGTGCTATCCTCACCACTTAACTGTCCCATTGTGACAAAAAAAAAAAAAAAATGAATTTAGTGCCCTCAGGACAGAAAGAGTTTACAAAGTGCATCCATTACCATCATTTAATATTTACTTCAATTGAACTATAACTAGTGTTGTAACTAGCAGGGTTACTAATTCAGTCACCCTTGCCCCAAAATAAAAAACTAATCTTAGCCCCAGACTTTCATTTAATAATGAATCTGTTAGTATCTTAGGGTGTAAAGATCTCTAATTGTGAAATTCCAGTTTAATCTCTCACAAAGAACTACAAGTTGGTTGGTTATAATGGTCCCGACGGGATTCCGGTCATGTCCTGCTTGTTCAACTGACCCAAACAAAAGACAACCCCGAATTTCGTGCCCACATGTAGGTGTAACCTGATTGGACCCCGGTCGTTAGGTTTCACACATGCAAAAACAACCAACCCAAAAATCTAAAGTGTTATTTTTAATAATTTAATGTAATATATTACTACTCATAATGGGAAAGTTATGCCACTGAGTAAACCTCACATTCATCGTGGAAACTTAATTCTTTCCCATTTTGACACTTTTAAATCAAAATTCCAAATGTTGACAGTTAAATGACAGCATAATCTTAACAATGTCAATGTCTAGAATAAAAAATAAAATACAACAAAGAACAAGTTTATAACTTATTTATAAACTTACCTAAATTTTTTTGGTAATGGACCGTTGACTTTTTCTTCTGTTTTTCTTTTCTGTAATGTTTAAAAATCTTATTATAAAATTACACAAAAATGCTTACAATGCATTAATAAAGATACAGACCTTGGCAAGTATGTGGGCATTCTGTCCTCCGGGTAAATATTTCTAGAAATAAGAGTAAAAAATTAAAGAACGACAGAAGTTTTTCTCAATGGTTATCAATTTTTTGATTAATTTGTTAATTTTATTTGACAACTTTAATAATGAAATTTCCAAATTGTTTGAATGTATAGTATTGTTGGTTGATTTATGCATTACAAGTATTTTCAAAACTTATACTTTGAAGGAAAAATACTATATATAATGTACAAGGTGTTCCAAAATGACGCTAACAATTTAAATTACTGTAATTATGTTAATTATTGTCTGAGAAGTAAGCTATGTGACATATACCAATTTTTTGACATTTGACATTAAGAGAAACTCACCAGATCTTGATCTTGAGTGGAAGAAAAAGTGTAGTCTTGGTTGTCAGTACATTGCATATGTTACACTGTTATATAATTGGCAATACTACAATTGTCAAGTTTAACTGAAATTTTGACTAACTTATTTGCTATTTAAAATGAAATGGGAACATATTGTGTGTTCAAGAGCACACAAATAGCACTCAGAGTGTAAATAAATTTTTGTATCCATTTATATTGGCATTATCAAATGATAGAGTTGGAGTAACTAATTGGTTAGAACTTGGCTAATTAATTATACAGATATTACAAAATTTGTCCTAAAGGTAGATGGTTACGCCATCATCTTGTATTGAATTTTAATAATTAGAAATAATTAAATAAATTTAGATTATTCTAGAAGGAAAGATCAATCTGGACTGAACTCAATACTCTGTAATTTAATTCTAATCATTAAATTTAACATGGTGATTTTCAACTGGTTGCAGCACACCGGACTGCTGCAATGACATGTCGGGTGAAGAAAAATGTAGTTATAAGAGGCACTATAATGATTTTTACATGCATTATTAAAAGTTATTGTATACTAGCAGACCCCGCCACGCGTTGTTGTGGCTCAAAATGTATCTATTATAAATGTATAACACTTCCCCCGTGTGGGGGAATTTTTCGAAAAATTTCTTCTCAGTGTACATTCTCTTGGCGTACCCTATTAAAACGCAATCAAAATCGCAAAAACCTGCATCTAAAATAGTATAATAGAAGCCAAGTTTTTCAAGGTAAGCCTTAATCCTGTCCCGCTTCCTCACGGGGGAATATTGAAAAATCCCTTTTTAGTGTATATTCTGTTGACGTACCCTATTAAAACGCAAAAAACCGCATCTAAAATAGTAGAAATAGAAGCAGAGTTCTTTACGGTTAGTCTTAATCCTGTTCATCTCCCCCCAGTGGGGGGAATTTCGACATGTATATTATATAAAAACACGTGCGTATTTGAATTGTGTGAAAATTTCAAAGGAATTGGTAGGAACAAACGAACATTACATTTTTATTTATATAGATAGATAGAAGATCTGCTTTAGTTCATCCTCACAGAAAAGGAAACTTAGGCCGTCATACTCGTAGCGCCATCTGTTGGACATAAAAGACTTAACCCTAGATGATATCTTTTAATTTATATGAATGTTTAACAAAAAATCTGCATGTTTGATTAGTGGTAAACATTCCGGGGGTCATAAAGATGCTACAGTTAAAATTTGGTAACGATTGGTTCAGTAGTTTTCACGGTTAGTGGTCACAAACGAAAAATACGTTGTCTCTTTATATAGTAGTATAGATTCTTATGTAATTACAATTAATATTTACAAATTGTAATGTTTAAATTGTAAATCTTTTTCATTTTATTGAAAATACTGTATACAATTTAAATTAACTGCACCTGTATTTATAACTCATATTAAAGTATATGAAGAAGTAAGAATGTCACCAAAAACCAAAAAAATTTTTACCAAGTTGGAGGTGCCACTAATAAAAAACAGTTAAAACACTACATTAACAAATAAATGAATCAAAATATTTTAAAAGCGTTACTTACTTTCCAAGTTTCTTCTGTAATTTTGACTGGAGTTTTCCAAGCAGCTAAATAAGTTTACAAAATAAAATGTCAAATGCTCGAAATAAAATTTAATAACAGTTTCAATTTAATCTTACCCATCAGATGCGGAACGAGTGCATAGTCGACCTTAAAGTGGTTCTCGACGTCATACTGTTGGTATTTGTGAGCCATCGGCAGGCGCAGAGCCTCGCAGTGACCAAACATGACGTCGTGAAGCCACTGAACGTTTACCACTGGAATTCTCCAATCTCTCGCCTTATCGCACTTGACGCCATTTATTCTAAATGAACAAAAATGTTAAATATTTTATTAAAGAACTGCCGTACTGACGTAAAATAAGATGTTTCTGTTCATATGCCGGAAAAGCATCTCACATTTTACATATCAGAAGCGTATTGTGCTGCGTCATGTATCCAGTATATTTGGCACCGGTCGCTATTATCATTTGCTTTAGTCGTACTCGTTCTTCACCTTCAAATTTTGAAATTGTAATAATCTAGAAATTTAAGAAAAAGGATTTTGTAAAAGTTTATACAAAAATTGTTAAATTATCAGTTGCTACTTTATTGCATCAAACAAATAAAACAGTCGTTAAACAAATATTTAATGTATTTTGTAATAGAATTCCATTATTACCTGATTTTTACACGGTTTGTCTTCGGAAAATGGAAAGGGAAAATGGAGTGCCAACCACGGCGGCAACATTTTCTTCTGTATCAGAACATCATTTAACCAAAATGCAGTAACACATCTTTTTCCTTCTCTCATTGCCTAAATAAGAAAAAAAGATATACACATATTTATTCAAATTACTGTGAATAGTAGTGATTAGATACGAGATAAAGTATAAAATTTCATATAGCAAATATTTTCAATGTGCAACGGGAAGCAACAGAAAGTGGATCTTGTGATGCAATAAAGACACCGGGAGGAAAATGAGGCGGAAATGGGGTATGATTGTGCACGTTGCTACATGTCGGGTCAATTACGAAAGCGAGAAAAATTACTCATTTTGTAATAATATCTTGATAGATGAGATGAGTGATTGAAGAGCAAAATATATACAGAGGAAGAATTAAATTCAAAACAGTACAGAGAAAAATATGGCAGAAAGAAAGAAGAAATGTTTTTGACTCTTCTAAAGACACTTTTAGGTTATACAAATTCTCAATAAAGGTGTGTAAAGTCGAAAGTTTATACTTGTCAAAATGTATAAATGAAAGAAAAAGATACAAGCTTATTATAATTATTTTTACTAAAAACTACATTCAACAGAATCAAAGAATCTAAATTTATCAGCAAACTTACACTGCAAATCCAAAATCCAGCATAATACAAACTAATTTATTCTATGCTGACTTTCGGTGTGCAGTGTAAGTAAGTTCATTGTTATTATCCGGTTCTATTAGTTGTAGTCTAAATTTATCTGTTAAGTTCTGTAATTAGAATTTAAATTTTACGCACCTGCTGAACTATAGAATTCCTTTGATTTTCACACAAAATATGCGTACATTTAGCATTATAACTGGCTTCTACTTCACCGCCATGCTGTTCTATTACCTGGAATACATTGTAAATATTAAAGTCATATAATTTCTATAGTGTTTTTATATAAATCTTAATTAATAAAGTACTAAACAATGGCAAGAAAAATATGCTAGGAGTTTGCAAGTTTATCAAATTTATATTGATTCATCTTCAGTAAATTATACATATCAAATGCAAAAGATTAAAAGAAATCCTATCAAAGACTAATTGCCATACATTGTTGACAACATCTTAGCTATTTTCTGCAACATCTGGCAATTAATTATAACTAAATATCTACATTAAATTAATTTTAAACCTGTATGTATTCTTGATAAAATATGTACAAAGAAAATAAAATGTAAACACAAGTGTTTTTACAGTGAAAGTTCATTAATCCGACAACTGTCCGATAATACTCTGATATGCTAATATTCTGCAAATCAAAATTTGTTCTGACGTGTGATGCACTAAAGACACCGGGAGAAAAATGAGGTGGAAATGGGGTACGATGGTGCATGTTGCTACATGTCGGGTCAATTACGAGATTGAGAAAAATTACTCATTTTGTTATAACACCTTGTTTTTGTCAGTGCTTTCCTGTGCTAATCCATGCTTATGCCACTATCATTGAACAAGTTCATGAAAATGCTTTTTAGGATTGGACTTAAATGCATTATCTAATGTTTACAGGTTTTGACAAGAATTTCATCCTCGTTATTGGCATCTATATAAAGAGCTTCCTTCCACAACAATGCCATTTGTAGGAATCACACTTCCGTCACTTAGGAGTAATTCTCTAGCCATCATTTGGAAAAGTCGGCAAATAGAATCGACAGGGTGATCCAACTTCTAGATAAAGTACCTCAATCCTATAACACTACCAGCCATAAACATCATCTCAAAAAACTTAAGAAAACTTTAAATACTGTGAGACCCGAAAGGCCCCTGGGTCTAAATTAATATTTTATTAATAATGTTAAAATAATGTCACCAAATATTACTTCATTTTTGGTGAGAAAAATACTGTTTTAACATGGGAAAAGGCAGATAACAGATGTTACTTCCTTTCACAGAAGAGTACATCCTCTGACTTTCCCTTATCTGGTTAAAATCCTGCTCAGATGGGAAATGGTTACCCCTCATTCATTCCCCTTTCATCCGTTCTCATGAAAGAGTTACTGGCTGATGATTGGTCAGTATTCCGAAGATATACAGGGAACTTGACAGAATTCTGGGAGTTCAGCGACAGATCCGAAAGCGTCCAAACTCCACATACGTTTCCCTCCTGATGACCAACGTCGTTAGACGAGTCACATACAGAATAAGTCTAGAGTCTGCACATAGAAGTGATACCTTTATATTTGTGCACATAGTGATCTCCCATACGAAGAAGTAAATGAACTTTATCTCCAAAGTTACATACAGAGATGAAGACGAACGACAACTAAACAGGTCGTATGTTTTATAATGATTTGTGAGCTCTCTCTCTCGATCGCGAATAGGGTATAATATAAGTTTAATTATCTCCTGATTTGTATATTAGTTGTAGTAGTTCTATCTCTCGTTCATTTATATGGTTGTATGAGTTTATTTCCTTGTTTTATTAAATTTATTATATCGTTTTTAATTGGGATGTCTCTTGTTTGCGTGACCGAGTCAGATCGCATACGCATGTTAATCCACGTATAATAAGATTGATTAACTGGTGTCGGGACCCTGACAATTTGGGATAAAGACTTCACAGTCTTGAATCCCCTTTTCCTAAATATTACCGCCCTCCTATAAAAAGTTTAGAGAGCCGATCACACGATCGTGCGCCAGTAAGTGATATAGGTAATTTACTTATACCCTTGGCTACTCTCACAATACCTATATTGTAATTTGTTAAATTATACATATTCTAAATCAGTGATGAGCAACCTTTCCTGGAAATGGCCACAACTGAACTTCATAAGCTTCTGGTTGGCTACATGCATTTTTTCTTACAGAGTGGAAGTATTTAAGTTTGCCGAGTGCCGACATATTTCATAACTTCCGGTGCGCTATATACGAAAATAACACAAGCTAGTAATATTCAAACCAGTAAAAAACAGTTTATTCTTTTCAATAATTTAATTTGAATGTTCTTTGTCACAAATATCAAAAATTAATTAGAGTCGCATAACAATACAAGGAAAAATAAAATTATGCTGCCAAATTTCTGGGGAATGCAAATTAGAATATCGCAGGCCACGTGGCCCCAGACTGCTCACAACTGGTCTAAATTGTATTGTGTTAAATAAATATTGCTTCACTAAAACCAACTACTACAAGTATCTTGCATAAAGTTACATGTATGATTGATGTATTTTCTTTCCCACAGGCCAATGCAAGAACAGAGCATCTAAAAACGGGTTTCTCACTTGGAGCATGTTTCATTTTTTTTAACCATATGTATACAGCATGTTTGGAAAATAATTATTACATGCATATGAATTATTAGGCTGCAATTTGAAAAACTTGTAGGCCTATAAATTCCCACTGTCATCTGTCTGCCTGTCTTTCTTTCCTTAATATTGAGAATGATGTTCAATAAATTATTCAAGACGAGATATGAAACGCTTGGCAAGAGGTTCCAATTAACTATTTATGAACTTCTGATGCAAACCTGAAGTTACGTTATTTCAATTCAAAAATTTTTCCCTGAAAGGGTAAACGACTGGCACAACTCTATTGTTAAAGTATGATGTACAGGGGCAAGACACTACTAATTTGAGATGGATAGCATATATTTTAAATTAAATAATCTAAAAATATAATTAATAAGGCATTGTGACAATATCACAATAAATAATTGCTCTGGTACTTTTGAAACCGTGCTTGTAGTTATTAGTAGTAATTCAAACACAAATAATTATCGTATTTATCTTCAGGCACTTGGCAATACTCATCATCAAGTTTTATTATTCAATTGCTCATTATAAATGTAGATTTTATGCAATAACATGCTCATTAACAACACAATATAGTCATACAATGTATCATCTTTAGACTAATTAAAGATCACACGTAAACAAATCAGATGCATTTAGCAGTTTGCAATAGTACAAACTGTATAGCAATAACTGCAATATTCAGATAGCATACGATTTATTGAATTTTCCAAAAATAAATAAGTATCCAATAATCTGACCCCACCCAGTCCCACAATGCCGGATTAATGAACTTCTACTGTAATATGCAAATTAATTTTCCTCATTTAATTTCAATATACAGCACATTGTTCCCGTGATTTCCAATCTTCTTTTTATTACATTCTTTTATCGAATCTATATTGTCATCAAATATTGTACACTGAATGGCTCCATTTGTTGCCTTAGCTAGACTAGATTTTGTACTTTAAAAGTCATTATTGTAACACTTTAGACATTTCGTAAATGACAAAAAAAACCATACAAAACAACACTATGTTATTCTTTCAATTTATATGTAATTTCATTATTTATAAAATAATTATAATTACCTTTTTCCATATGGCAATTTTGCTTCCTTCGACATGTCGATCGTAGTCCAAAATACAAAAGACGCATCCCAATAAACAAATATCTGGAGGAACTGTAATGGAAACATCAATTTAAAAGAACCATTTATAAACTGAGTATGTTTTTATAATCACATTTTTTTAAACGAGAGATTACTGTCAATCGTTAAATTTCCAACTCGAAAGTTATACAATTCTAATTATCACTAAAATTATTATGATTGTCCAAATGAAAGCAGATTTAAGATAAATACAGACGATTACGACGAGGTCGTACAGGTGACTCAGAAGTCAGTTAACCATGTTTTATGCATTCTGAATACACAGGTGACTTTCTTTTATAAAATTTGTAATGCTTATTCTAACAATGTAATGTATAAGCATATCATTTTACGATCTTTTTGTGTGAAAAAAGCACTTTTTCCTTCTTTATTTGAGGTCTTATCAGTTAAATAATATTAAAATGATCAATTTTAACTGATGAAGCTTTACGCTACATGTCTATCCGAGAGCTGACAGTGATAGTAACTCCGAGGACGTCTCCCTCGGGTAATGGTGGCTGCTAGAGTGATTTTACTCTGGTTATTTCTGCCGACAACCAGATTCCGACAAAACTCTTAAAGTTGTCTCTACTTGTTTAGTGAGTGTCTATTGATTCAGATAATGATAAAATGGGCAAACAACATAGTGTGAATAACTTGTTTGTTATAAGAATTGTATTGTTATGAACAGTTTTGAAACACAAAATTTTTTCTCATCAGAGAAAGTTTTGGGCAAGGCAATGAATATATCATGATAAATCTGGAGCTTGTTCATTATTTTGTGTATTTTCTATCTTATATACATAGAAGATATATAACAATTTAGAAATTTTTCAGAAATGTCAGCAGAGCAAGTTGAATTCTTAATATATTTAATGGTACTCAAATAGTTACGCAAAACATTAAATTATTATCATAGATGAGTCTTTTTACAAGAGATTTGCCTAGTTGCCTTCTTGCATATTTCGAATAGGTCCATCACTAAAACTGATAGTTGGCTGCTGTAAAAGATTACATTATCGTTAAGTTTATACATCAATTTATATGTCACAAAGTCAACATTATGTGTATTTACTTATAATAGCAAATTTATTAAGTAATAAAGTTTTGAATAAGATAGTGGTTAATTACTTTTGGACCACTCTGTACAGTAGTAATAAATCACAATTCAATTGCTAGTTAAAAATTTATCCCTAAGTTCTATTAATTGCCATTATTCTGCAAAAAAGTGACTTCTTTTGATGCAAGAATTTTTTAAAAGTATCAAAATATATTGATTTAATGAGATGAGATTTATTTAAATGTTTCTCTCTAGTACTAAAGATAGCATATGAAAAAAATTAAATGCTTTATTACAAAACAGTGCTAAATTAAATTCAAATCACAGAGAAGTCAAATGATTATGAAGAAAATATTGTGAGAATTTGAAATATTGATATGAATAAAACAATAATAATCAAGAGATATCAACAAAAATTAATCAGGTGTTCTAAACATTTCAATTATTTGTTGTATAGATTCATTCCTTCTGTTGCTAAGAAACTGTTTTACCAAAGCAACAGATGACCCTATATATTCTTCCACTCATTACAAAACAGATTACATCAATGGCCACATGATAATATACTTAAATTCTCTTTACCCATATCTGAAAAATAAGAATGAATGCCACTTATTGCCATTTCAGCAGTGGCATATTTTGAAATAAGTCTTGCAAAGATAGGCTTCAAAATGTGCCTTTATACAGGTATACCTCGCCTTACGTCAGTAATTGGTTCCAGAAGAGGTGACGTAAGTCGAATTTACTTGTCACTAGGCTAAACCACAAATAGCCATTCCAGTTCTGTATTTTATTTATAAATGCATTTTTAATAATATACGGTTAATAAGAATCTATTTTAAGCTTTCAAACAAATAAATTTTAGTTTTTAATATAGTACAGAAAAAAGTAATCTAAATTTACGAATTCAAGTACGTACAGTACAACTTGTAAATGTACATGTTTACAATTTGGTGATGTTTACAGTACATTGTGGACTCTTTATTTGTGAATGTGGTTTGCTCTAAGACATTCTAAAATAAGATGATTTTGTAAGGTTAAACAACAAATACAGTTATTAAAATTATCTTGCAACAGTAGAAAATAAACTAATTTATATTAAATTTACCAATATCGAGTGGCACTGATAACAATGCCAAACGGTAGATATTGGAGCTACCACAGAAAACACTAATATTGAGCACTTAAAGACAGCTAAATAAGACGACAACACAGAAACACAGATGTTTTCATGTTTCGTTCTCTAGGATTTATGATGATTCTATTAACATTTACTGTAAATGTACAGTACATATTTGTATATGATTTTGTGTGCTTTAACGCTTTTCTAGTGATATTACGACTTCAATATTTGTAGTGGACGAACGTAAAGTTGAATAAAATGACTTAAACTTGATTTTTATTTTTCCATATATTTTTTGACAAACGACATATAATCGAGAATGACGTAACTCGAGGTATACCTTTACTGCTGACTGACTGGCTGCTTCTACTGCTGATTTGAAAGTGATGGAAATTGCACATTAACAAATATATTACGGTGGATCAAAATGTCCCAATGTCTATTTTCTTGGTCCAATGTAAATTTTAACAGAATACCGTATGCCTGTGAAATTCTAACTTATAGCTAGTAATTTTCATTTGCTTCGACCAATGTTGTGAATAGTATTTTTTATGGACAATGAATTGAAGATTCGTTCATCAGTCTCCATGATGAGCCGCATAAAGTATCAGGTAAGCATAAACAGATTAATGACAAGAGTACAGTAATATGTAAACAAGGACACTAGCATCTATTTATTCTGAGAAATGTGATACAAGACTTTTCACTCCTTCCATATATTAAATTAAAATATCTCACAATTAACATAGATAATAATAAGAATTTCAAATGGATTACTTTCTAAAAGTATCATATTCATAAACTACAAAGCAACCTGCATCAAAAGGTAAATAAAGCAAATACTGTATACCTGGAATACGGGGATCGTGACCGACGAAATGAACCTGTGGTATCGGAACTGCTGGACGTTCTTCTATGGGAACGGGAGTTCCAGGAATTATTATGTCTTCACCACTAACTCGACGGTTGATTGGACTCTGACCCTGCTGTAAAGTAGGAGGTCCACCAATTTCAGATGCACCCTAAAATATTTAAAAATCATATTTTTTAATACTGTTTGTTTTTTTCACTTTTCACACTCTGAAAGGAAAAAAAGTTTAATTTAAATATGTAATTAATAAAAGGTACTTACAATTACAGGTTTTCCTGTGATCGTTGATCTAATTGCACTTTGATTACCTTCCACTACTTCATGTGTCCGTCCAGTTCCTTGCAACCTGTAAGTTAAAAGATTTGCTAAAGCAGTTTTTGTCTTGGGAGTAACTTGGGCTGTAGCAATTGGCGTGGGTGGTGGAGTAGGTTGTGGATGTTGGGCGTGGGATGCTGCAGGCGGTTGATACTGGGCTGGTATGGCCGTCGGTTGTGGCGTCCTTGGAATTCCTGGAGGACGCACAATTTCTCCATGTGTGGAGGAAAATTGGGCCGGGGAAGACTGCTGAACAGAACAGGCTAACTGCTGTGGATGTGCTTGAGATTGTTGTTGCTGCTGCTGCTGTTGCTGTTGTTGTTGTTGCTGCTGCTGCTGCTGTTGTAGAAGCTGTCTTCGTTGTAATTCCAACTGCTTCAACTTTTGCCACTGAAGTATCTGTTGTTGTTGTATTTGCTGATTATCTTCTCTTGGCATTGCTTGAGAAGGAGGTCGTTGCTGTTGCTGCTGCTGTTGCCATGCTAGAGACTGTGGTACAGGATGCCTCAATATATTTTCTCGCTGCTCCCCTTGTATTGCTGCTGCTTGTTGTTGTTGCCAAGCAAGCTGTTGCTGAGTCGGCTGAACAGATTGTGGTGTTGGTGGAATTTCATCTTTCTGCTGTTGTGCAACAGTCCATTGCACATTTTGGCCTTGCTGAATCGGTGACTGTGCCCTTAATTTTTGCTGCTGTTGAGCAAATTGTTGCCATGGAATCTGTTGTTGCTGGGGAGATATCTGCCTGGCTTGAGATGGATACTGTAATCTTGGTTGACCAGTAAGTTGTTGAGGGGGTATCACACGATCTCCAAATGGATACTGAGGAGGTGGTTTCATGACAACTGGAGGCTGTCCCGTTGCTTGTGCTTGGGGATTATTTATTAATGTTTGCTGATGCTGCTGAGTTTTCTGCATTTGCTGTAACTGCTGTTGTAGTTTCTGCCGTTGCATCTGCTGCATCGCTAACTGCTGCTGTTGTAACTGTCTAAATCTTGTCTGCTGCAACATTTGCTGTTGTGGATTAATGCACTGAACTGGTGGTTGGCCATGCATTGGTTGATTTTGTTGAAATGCTACCTGATGATACTGTAACTGCTTTTGTTGTTGCATAGCACGTGGTATATTTGGTTGAAGATGTTGCTGTTGAACCTGTTGTTGAATATGAGCTTGCTGATTTTGCTGTTGCTGTTGTTGTTGTATATGCTGTTGTTGAAGCCTTTGTTGTTGCAGTAATACTTGCTGCTGTTGCTGCTGCTGCTGTTGTTGTTGTTGCAAGTGAGTTTGCTGTTGCTGAAGATGTTGTTGTTGTATATGGCTTGGTGTCTGTTGCTGTGGCTGTAAGTGTGGTTGTTGTTGTTGGGCTGGCTGAGGAAGAGGTGATGGAGGAGGAGGCTGCTGCTGAGGCTGTGGAGACTGTAACATAGGTGGACGATTCAGTTGCTGTTGCATAAGTCTACCATACTGCTGCATCTGGATTAACTGTTGTCTCATTTGCTGTTGCTGCTGCTGCTGTTGTTGTTGTTGTTGCTGCTGCTGCTGCTGTTGTTGCTGCTGCTGCTGCTGTTGCTGTTGTTGCTGCTGCTGCTGCTGTTGTTGTTGTTGTTGAAGATATGCCATTCGTTGTTGTTGTTGCATCTGTACTTGCTGCCACTGTAATCTTTGCTGTGTAAGTACTTGAGGAGATTGCTGTTGAGGTTGACGTAACTGCTGTTGCACTTGAAGATGCTGTTGCTGCAATGCCAACTTTTGATCTGGATTTTGTTGTAATGCCTGCTGTTGTAATACCTGTTTTTGCATATATAACTGCTGCTGTTGTTGCTGCTGTTCAGTTAAAAATGACGTTTTAATTAAATTTCCAGCTTCCTGTGCAGAAGAAAGTGAACCTTGAGATTCCAGTTTTTCCGCCATTATTCTTCTCGCTATTTCAGGTGTTATATTCCCCTGAAATCTGTTATCGTGGGTCATTGGAATTCTAACAGTTCTTGTAGAAAAATGCATTGGAAGAGAAGTTATTGGAGAACTAGTCGGACGCTCTATATTTAACGGAGATGACTTGTTTATGGGTAAACTAGAAGGCGTAAGAGGTGCCGCTACAGTACTAGTGTTTACTAATTCTTGTTGTTTTGATATTTCAGTTTCTGGAAGAATCAGAAGTCTTGGATGATACAAATCCTCATCGCACAGCATTTTATTTTTCACAGAATCCACTACCCAGTCTGGTGTGACTATCTTAATCTGGTCTTGAGTTTGCAATGCTCTATCATATTTTGCCTATAAATAAATTGAGAAATAAGTATTTCACATTCAAGAGATTGTATGCATCAATAAAACTGAATAATTACCCCAGATGGCTTGGCCGCAACCAGATGAGTGCAACAACAATCCAATTCCAACTGCACTTTTCCTCCATAATAGGTAATCATTGCCCAGATAGAACTCACATCAGCTGGACTTAGCTGTATTTTAATTGCAATAATAAAATATATAGAAGTTAAATATATATTTTTATAATTAAAAATTAACCTATCTAACTTAATTTATGTACAGTACTTTTAATAAGTTAGTGATATACTGGATATATGGAAATATAGGGTCTTCCAAAAATAATGCTACTATTTTAAATTACTATAATTATGTTAATTATTATCTGAAAACACTGTAATGTACATTAAAACTGTCCAAGTTTTACATATGCCTATTACAATTTCTCAATGTGTGTACCACATGTCATGAGGCAAACAACCAACCAAAGTCAAATTCTTCCTGCACTTGCTACAACATATCTATAGAATTGCCACTCCTCCCAGAGAAGCCACAATTCTACAGCTCCTGTAGATGACTCGTGTTGCACAATGACGAGTGTTTCCGACGACTCTGCAAACTGCAGAACACAAATTGCCTTCTCTGTTGCAAAGTCGCCATTTTCATGTATGGCACTTCCTTGAGGTGGTACACAAAAAGATGTTTGAGTTCAGATGAAGGATGAAACTTGGATGGTTGCTTTATCAATTGGTGCAGGTCACATACTTCTCAGATATTAATTACTATAATTACTGTAATTTAAAAATGGTAGCATTCATTTTGGAAGATCCTGTATGTTACAAGAAAAAGAAGATAATTTTTCAAAAGAGTGACTTTTCTATATAAACAATGCTTTATTAATTAAGAGAGTTGAAATGGTAGAGATATCTGCCTACTACTCCAAAGGACTGGAGTTGGATCAGATCTCCTGATATCTTCATGAATGGTCTAATCAAGGTATGTTAGATCTATTTCTTGCCTTATACTTTACACCACTGCTGACTTGGCCAATCCAAAATGGTCATGAAAATAAAGCTTTCTGACTAGCCACAAGAGTTGAAGAGACAAATTATTTAAAGGAAAAATGAGAAAGAAATGACATTATTTTCTATTATATTCATGCATTTACCGAGAAACATAGGCTTCTATGAATATAAATGACACTTGTCAAACTACTAAAATTAAGAAACAAGTGATTTGAACAATATATCAGTACAAGATTGCAATGTTAATGGTCCACCAGTAACCAACTGGATAAAACACTAAACACTGGCATTTGTTCATGAGTTTTCATGTCAGTGGGTTTTTTTTACATGTAACTAACACCTAAATAGGGGCAAGCTTCCCATATAAAGGCACTCCAGGAGACATTCCTTGTCAGATCACCCAAGTGTTTGCATTGCTTTATCCTGTCTATTCAATTGTAACATTAAAAATATGCATTTTGAATCAAGCCAAACAGAATGTGCAAATATATTTGTAAGCGTAAAATTTTTACAATATTTGCAGAGTTCCTAGTGCACGAGCTTAACCACAAAATATTAAGAGATAAATTCATGTATTTATGAAAATATCAACTAGATTAATTAGACTTGTATGTAAATAAACTGTCTTAAATATTAATTAATGAATAAAAAATATAAATTTGAGAAGATTTCACATTTATATAATTAATTAAAAATGCAATGAACATTTTTAATTATGTAAACTAATTATACAAACACGAAATCACCTAAATTTATTTTATATTCTTTATTTTGTATATAAATCAATATAAATATTTTATATACAAGTCTAATTACCCCTACTGATACTCTCACAAATGTAAAAACTTAATTTATTCCTCAAAGTTTCATAATTAAATCCATAAACTGCTTATTAAATTTGGATTTTTGCTTAAATTTGTTGATAAAATTTACCTTCCAGTTTCCCAAAATATTGCAAATTCACAATTATCGTTAATTAAAAACAGTAGCTTCTAATTAAGTGAAACTAATTTCTAATATTTACATATTTACAATCACAAATTAGAACAATTAAAATATTAATATTAATAATTTAATAAACCTAATGTAATTTCACAGTTAGAAAATATTTGATGCCATAAATACCTGTGTTGGGCAAGCGACGATATCGGAAAATAACTGATCTAAACTAGGTGAGAAGCCGCTAATGCTGAGAAAACTATTAAGGATTTTATGATAAAATTAATTTAACACTTACTAGTAAATTTTGGTATTTTAAATGATAAAAATTTTATTAAAGATTAAAATATTTTTATAATATTCTATATACATGGTACATTCAAACAGTTTGCAGAAAAGATTTTTTACCACCTTTTTTATTTACTCTACATTACCCTCAAAGTATTCACCTTATGCAGCGATGCACTCCATCCAGTGGTCATACAATTTCTGAAATCATCCCGAAATCCTTCATTGATGACCATCTGAAGTATACTTTTTATAGTGGCTGTGTCAACAAATTTTTGGCCTTTTGTGTGTGTTTTATGTGAGGGAAGAAGTAGACCCATAATCTTCATATAATGTTTCTAGAGTTTGTTGAGGTGTCTTCTCCAAAAGAACAGAAAATTTGATGTTCGTTCATTGTTTGATACTGGACATTTTTCATTAAACAGTACTCAAAAATCTTGCTTTTGCTGTGTCGTCGTTATTTTCACTCCACCTAATATTAGACAAGTCCAAGTCTCATAATCAATGTCCTTTATAACTTTCAGACATTCAACTTCCATACACACTTTAAGGAACATACTATCTGGGATTGATGTATGTACAGTAGGGTGGTCCATACTTAAATAGCGAAAAAAATTTTCAAGTGAAAGTCACACCACCCCCTTGTTTTGTTACGCCTACCATTCCTATTATGTGTTCAAAATTTCACCCCTTTACCTTATGTACAAGGGGGTGCTCATCGACTTTGAAATATCTGAATTTTATGAAAAAATCCTTAGAAAAAACTAGTCAGGATATTAAGTAAAAAATGTAAACTATGTATCAAAAGTAAGATTTTTTATTCAAATATAGTATTTAAACACACACAAAATGTTATAAACAAAGCAATACTTAAAATAATATTAATTACAGTTCTTTTTTTCTCAACCTAAAACTAAGTTTGTTAGCACTTTTTTGGATATTTCAGTAGAAACAATCTTTCTGTTCAACAACATGAAGTAAAAATTGTTTTTCTTCCTCATTCTTAATGAGTATCGTATTGTAATCTTCAAATAGTTTTACACCCCTCTCCACAGTGTCATTAACCACACGCAAATTTCTTATGCAACTTTTGCCTTGAAAGTAATCAACATTGTCACCCCAAATCTCAGGAGGTAATTGCAAGAAAGAGTCCTTGATGGTAAAGCAACCACAAAATCATCTTCTTGCTTATCTTTTAAAGTGCTATTGGCACTAGAAGTGCTACTGAAGCTGAAATCAAGTTCTAGTTCTTGACTTGACACTACCGAAGTTGAAACATTACTTTTAGCGGCCTTTTCTCTTAATTCTTCAGCTCTTTGTTTTAATTTTAGAGAATGTTCTTTGGTCTTTTCCAGCTTCTTGTCAATCGATGTCTTACACTCACCTCTTTGATCAATGAGAAACTATCTGTCTTCCACAATTTTGATTGAGTTCATGGTGTGTGAATGAGCAATATCAAAAAGTTTGTCTAGCTCTTCTGTAAACAAATGTTCTCTATTTTTCTGCACTTCCGAATCTCTTGTTTTATTTTTCTTTAAAAGCAGCCATTTCTTATGAATTTTTATAAGTTTTTCAAGGCAGTGATTTAGTTATCTGGTCGGAATACCAGATTTGCTCCACACCTCTATGACTTATTGAATGAGCATATGCACAGAATCTTTTACATTTTTTTGATTCATTTAATGTGTGGTGATAACAAAGTAGAACTTGCCGAAGAGTTGAAAGTTGGTTAATTAAACCAATGGCTCAAGATCCCAATATCCAAGTAGAAAAATGTTGTCTTTTTTTTCAAGTTGATGAACTCATTTTAATGCATTGATTCACTCGCATTCTAGTAAATAAGTACCAAAGGTTTTTACATTCGTCTATAAAACTCTTTAACAGTTGTATTTAAAAGTAGATTCGATTAATTTAACACACAAAACAAAAAATCAAAATCAAGCATTTTTCACAAAAATTTCAAAAACAGCACTCAATTGAGCACCCTCTTCCACTAAAGCTAGCCAACCTTGAAATAATACAATGTTATTGCTATGGATACATGTTACAAATTTACGGGGTGGCCAAAATGAAAAAAAAAAATGTTATGGACCATCGTAATGTACAGGGTGCACATTAATGTCCTGACACGAGTGATGCACAATGTACGACACACAGTAACGAATGAAGCATAAAGACCTAGGAAAATGAGAAACACAAGTATTAAAAAATAAACACATGAGAAATACACATTTTATTGTCTGTGTAGTGCTTGATATGCACATTAACATTTCACACTTTCTATTCATGCTACTTGTTTACACAGAGTGTCCTTTCACACTAATTGGACATGATCTACAACTTTGTAATAGATGTTTTTCTGTATCATGCAACATTTTTAAGACAGGAGCACTAATTTCCAAATTTTACCACCAGAGACACTGCAAGAGGTCTCATCTTTTAGAGCATAGTCACTTTACTATAACTATTCATAACAGTGGCTATGTGTTCATCAGTTACGTGGGTGCATAGACGTTACCGTTCACCTTACATAAATTAGATCGACGACACTATCTAGCAATGGAATTTTTTAACCTTTCAGTAATTCTAACTCATAAACAAAGTATTAATGGCACACAATTTTTTAATTTATTTAATTTAAAATATATGCTCTCCACCTCAAATTAGTAGTGTAGTGTCTTGCCCCTGTACATAATACTTTTCCTTTAACAATAGAGTCGTGCCGGTCATCTAACTCCTTTCAGGGGAAATTTTTTGAATTGAAATAANATGGAATTTTTTAACCTTTCAGTAATTCTAACTCATAAACAAAGTATTAATGGCACACAATTTTTTAATTTATTTAATTTAAAATATATGCTCTCCACCTCAAATTAGTAGTGTAGTGTCTTGCCCCTGTACATAATACTTTTCCTTTCACAAAGTTGTGCCAGTCATCTATTAACTGCTTTCAGGGGATAAGTTTTCAATTGAAATAACATGACTTCTGGTTTGCATTAGACGTTCATATATAGTTAATTGGAACCTCCTGCCACTAAGCTTTCCATATCTGGTCTGAATTTCATCTATCTAACTTTATTCTTGAGATTAAGGAAGGATAGACAAACAGACAGGCAACAGTGGGAATTTATAGATCTACAATGTCTTTCAAATTGCAGTCCAGTAAAACTTTTCTCATAATTTTCAGAGATTAACACTTCAGAAGAATTTCTAATTTTTGCAATTTAAAATTATAATTCATAAAATTAAAAAAATAATGCAGAATAGATTAATATTTTTATAGCATAAAATTAAAATTAACAAATTATAAATAATTAAAATTTAATTCTTCTTTAAATAAATTAAATCTTAATGTTAATTAAAATTCAAACGGAAAAAGATACGGAAGAAGAACGCCACATTGTGCAGATGAAATCACCCATCGACCCTGCAAGAAAGACATTTTTTTATATAATTTAATTTTTACACAATTATGAAATAAAATACTCTTTGTAATACAAGCAATAATTATAATAAACAAATCTTATATGCATAAAAATTAAAATAATACACTTTGTTTCTACAATAAGTTAAATAAAAAGTTTGCAAAATTAATTATTAGCTAAAGAAATCAAACTATTGTAGTGAATAATAGTCATAGATTAGCTATATTCTGTTAGAGACAATCCGTAAGTAAATAAGACATCCTTATTTTCAGACACCGTCTTTTTATTTCATGGTATCTATCTGATGCTAATGCCACGTAAGCACATTAAAACCACAAAGTCTTTATCCAATTCTGATATCTTGGCCTATGGTATGTTGGCCCACTTGGCATGCAAACAATCTAAAAGTTCTTCACTGAAAACGGGTTTGTGTAAACGTCGCATTGCACAATCCAACAGATTCCAGATGTGTTCGACAGGATTCATGTCAGGTGACTAACTGGTCCATAAAAGCTTTGAGATGATGTCTTGTGTTGCCAGCCAATTCTGGGTCTTTTTTGCAGTGTGACAAGGAGCTCCGTCATCCATGAACAGAATTAATGTTTTTTTTGTCTATCAGCCCAGTGGAGAATATCGGAAGAAGACTCTTCTACGACGTGGCACTGTATTTTGCAGAGTTAATATTGTCTTTGTATTTGCTGGCATTCAGGGTGTTTATCTGCTTACAGGTTTCTCTAAAATGAACTGTAGGAGAAACATTCAGTTGAATTCTCTAGAAAAATTGTTTCCAATACAGTAATTTCAATATGTGATGAAACTATCTTGGTACTCTTGTAAGGTAAAGTGTTTATACTGTGTCACTTGTTCTGCACTTCTACTTTTGCTACCAAAGAGGAACTGTCAAAAAATACAGTTCAAAATGCATTTAGTGTAAGTAAATCTCTTTGAAACATTGACAAATGCAAAAAATATTTGGGTTTTTTTTTTCTGTATGTATGGATGTTAGTATGTTTGTGTATGGCACAATTTTGTTCACTCTATTTGAAGCTTAATAACTCCTGTGCTTTCTGTTGAGATTTTCTTAAACTTTGCAGGAAGATTTGTTTATTAAGGGATTGATGCTATTAAATTTTCATGATTAAAGATCAAGGGAGTGGAGAGATAAAGGAGGTTGTGCATATCTCCAGTAGAGTTAGACTTAGGAACAATTTTACTCATTATCAGCATTTACAATTTTTTATAAAATCCATCTCTATCCTCAAAATTATGCTTTTGCTATTTATGACTTACAGGTCTCATATGCAATGTTGTACGTATAACATCATTACAAATTTCTCACCACACAGTAAATTTTTGGACATCCTGTGTATTAACTCAGTTAAAAAGTTCAGATAAGGAGGCATTAAAGAAATTAAAAGAAACACTTTATTTCTGCAAGCACTTTCAACGTAATTACGCACATCGTCCTCAGGCAGTTTGAATAACAAAAAGATTTTGAACGGAATCTTTTTTGTCATTACTGTTTAAATGTAAATATTCCATTTGAAATCTTTTTGTTATTCAATACAACTGTTGGCATAATGTCCAATCTCAGTATTTAGTATTCCTGTGTATTACATAACTTCTTAAAAAAAAAAAATACTCACCGTAACTACAGGTTTTTCAAATAATTCAAATGCTTCACTCACGTCGGGACTATCCGGATTATCGGCAATGACGTGAGTTACAATATCGGAAAGATAATTAAATCTTTTTCCGCCTCCATCTTGCAGTAATTTTTTCACCTGGAAACAAAAGTTTGATTAGAAAAAGTGCAGTTTCTCTATACATATTTATTTTATATAAACTTAAATTTTTTAAATTAATAGTAGAATATAAATTGAATAAAATAATAAAAAATATAAATTCCCAAATTTTAATGAAGTTTACAGTAAGTAGAAAATTGTAGGAAGATTTTTATTTGTTTATCAAATCAGTATATTTCCACATATACTCCTGATATTGTATGTTAGGATGCAGCATGTATCCTAATGTAGTCAACATGTTAGCAGCCATATAATGGCATCTGCAACTCTTGTACAGTACATGGGAATCTCACATCTGGCACTTTTGTAGTATACACACAAAGAAAAATATTCTTAGAGATGATGTTAGGTGATGGGCTGACCAAGAAATGGGGCCCCAGCAACCTAGACTTGGAGCAGTGGAGGTCCAGATGGCCACTGCACATCAGCAGTGCCCCTTTCAAGTGTATGCATGTGAAACTTGACCAACATTCTCCAACTCATTTTATTCACAAACAAATGGATTTACAGGAGAGTTCAAAACTAGGAATGTTTGAGAGAAACACCCTGTATTTGCATATGTCTATGATCAAGGACTCGCGCATAAACTGACACTGGTATTTACTCATCCAAGTTAAGAACAAGATTAGTTCTTACAAGATGTAAAAATTGTAGTAATAAGAATTGTACAAGATTATAGTTAAACTATTATTAGTTATTTTAAATTTTATTTAGACAAGAGTGGTTTAACTATTTAACAAAAACTTAGTTTTGGATTAAATTAAATTTTTCATTATAAATTCATTACAATTTTGATCATATTTTAATGGACTTGAGATAAAACTAAAGACATTGCTAACCAATTTAAATTACTTCTAGACAGTAAATTAAAACATTTATTGTGATCTATACTGTAATGCCACATGCCAACCTCTCCCATAAGTGTTGAAGTGAAGTTGATAGGTCTTCCACTCAGAAAATTTTATCATCTGCTTTCAAGAGAAAGTTGTTTTATTGTTTATTGTACAGTTCTAAGAATATATTTTATCCGTGGTTTTGCATTATTATACTATTTATTAATTTTTTATTAATACAATAGCTTTTTCCATTGTATTATGTGCGATTTTTTAAGTACAAGAATAGACATTGCTTTCTAAAGTGAACACATTTATATAAACTCATCTAAGCTTGATCCAGTTCACTGATTATAACAACCAAAAACTGAACAATGTTAAACAAATAATATATTTGATAAACTGTTTTACTTGAAGAGTTAAAATCAAACTTCAGTTTTTGCTTATTTCAATGGAACCACATTGCTTTTCTAACTTATTTTTAAACTGCTGGAAACTCACTCTATACTTTAATAGTCAATGAAAGTCTTACAGAACCAACTTATTTATCTAAAATCTCCAATTTCTGCAGTATAAGTGTCATAAAAATTGATTTTTCAAGTCTTGCACAGATTATTGAAGTGTGGAATAAATATTTGGCTTTCCACAAACAAAAACTATTCTGATAAACTGTTTTGATTTTAAGACAGAATTTGCTAAAGATATTTGCTAAAGCACTTTGACCAACATATACAGAAAACACTGTGTATTAATGGATGGCTAATGATGTTGATAGTGGTAATAATGAAAAGCTCTGTGGAAAAAATAAGTTCTTTTAGTTTTGATAGGTATGCTGATGATTCACTTAGTAACGATAATATGACATTCTGAATTAATATAATCAAAGTTTATTTTAAATTATTATTTAGAGGCAGTAGTTGTTATAGGGAGGAGGAAGCATAAAAGACCAAAGTTAAGGAAGCAGAGAATTTGGGCGAGAAGGGATATCCTGGATAGATAGAAGTGGAGAAGATAGATTAAAGATGGGAATACTGATTCCATATAAACATGGGAAAAAGCACAAAGATTTAGAAACAACAGTTGGAGTCAGACATTCTAAAATTCTAAGTTAAAGTCAGAATTGGTGTTTTGATCTACCAACTGAACAGTCCTGCTTGCAAACATAAGAATATACACTAACAAACACTTTACTTAGTGCATGTTAATTATTTTAAATACCAAGAAACTATACATCTAATCGACATCAATATCAGTTTCTGCCAATTAAGTTTTGATGATATTCAGAAGCATAGTGTGTGAAATTTGTATAATTAACCAAATATTAAAGGATTTTTTCGGGTTATAACTTTGATAAATTTTAAATGGACCATTTATTAGTACTTGATTGCTTGTTGTTCTCTCAATTAGTTGTATGTTCTTTGGAACTTAGCAAGAAGTTGCTATTGAGAACAAATCATACAGGAACACTCCTTTTGATGGAAAAAGTAGATTTATTTCCACTTTTAAGATATAAATCAACATTAGTGTATCCTGAGTTCACAAGTATAAAAATTTATACCATTTTAATAGTATAAATTCCTATATACAAGGTATAATAAAAATTTGGGGACTTGGACCATAGAGGGTGTTAGAATCAACATCAGAATCTTTGCCATGGTGGAGAGGCTCAACTTCTTGCTATAAACAAGCTTTAATTTTTATAGTGATTTGTTTATTAGTATTCAAGTAATAGTTGATTAATTAATGACAGTGATTTCTGCAAGTTTTGGTTTTAAAATATTGGCTGTTAAAGAATGAAGAACCTGTATTAAATTTTGTTGGAACTTGGAAAAAGCAGCACAGAAATATTTCAAATGCTGCAAACAGTCTTTGGAATGTTACCATGTCTCATTTGACGATTATGAATGGCTTAGAAAATTTAAAAGTGGCAGAATATCCAATTATGATGCTTTAAGGCCAGGAAGACCTTCAACAGCCACTACAGACAAAAGTAAAGAATACATTATTGCCCAACTAGAGGTTAATATTCAAATCACTATACAAGAGCTAACAGAAGACTTGAACATCTTGCTTCATCACCCCAATCAATGATGCATGAATTGGAATACCAGAGAATAGTGGCAATAATGTCTTCTATAACTTTGTCTGTGATGGCTATTGAACATTTTTCTGGCCTTGGATCTTCTTCAATCAATATTTGGCCACTTTTAAATTTCTTATACCAATCATATACCTTCAAACAAAACATGATAACATCTCAAAGGTTGTTTTTCAGCATTTGAAACATTTCTGTGCTACATTTTCAAAGTTTCCAACAAAATTTAATGTAGGTTCTTTGTTCTTTAACATCACACATTTCAAAACCAAATACTTCAAAAACCATGCCATCTAATCAACAGTTACTCGAATACTTATGGACAAATTGCTACGAAACTCGAGCAGTCTATAGCAGAAAGTTGACAGTGCCTCTCTACCATGACAAAGATTCTGATGTTGATTCTAACACCCTCTATAGCCCAAGTCCTAAAACTTTTTGATCACACCTTGTATTTATCAATCTTGGAAACTTTTCTGAATAAGAAAATAAAGTTTATTCACAGTATTAAAACATTAACTCTCTTAAAGTTAAGTAAAATAAAAGTAGTACAGAATCGTTTTATTAAACAATTTAGACATGAAAATGATCCCTGTGGGAGATCATTTGAAATTATCTTCTCAGATTTAATAAAATAAGTTATTTGTATATAAAATATTGTGCAACTCATTCTATGCTATATCTAATGCTACTCAAATAAACAAGAGTTGCTTATTTTTCAATTATAATTGTAAATCATCATCAAGAACAATGGTGCTGTTTTATTTACACTTCGCTTGACAAATGGACATTAGATTTCTTCTCTAATATAAATTATTAATTCTCTTGGAATTTATACTATACAAATGAAAACATATTATCATGAAGTAAAACTTGGTGAAATATTTTTCTTTTCATTGAAATTTACTCTTTACTGTGATTGTAATATACCATTGTGCTATGACTACATGTGCTAATGAGAGATTTATATTATCTATTGAAATTAAACAGGATAAAAATCCAGATGTAAGATTATAAAATTTTTCATCTTAATTATTGAGAATTAATGCATTGCAACAAAAGTTTTCCTTGAAAGAAATTTAACATAAGGATTAACAAGCTGACGACAATCAAAAATATTTGTACACATATAAAAAACCACAACAGTAAACTGGAACAATATATATAGACTCTCACCTAAACATCAAATTTCCAGCAAAACACCCAAATTCAACATTTGAACATTTTCAGCCACTCATTAATCAGCCTTCATCAGAAAAAGTCAAATGAAAATAACAGTTCTATTTATAGAATGTTGCTGTATTGTACACGTAATTAAAAAAATTTTTTTAAATCAGTTCGAACAATGGCTGTGACATATATTAAGCAACATATATTCCTTTAAAGGTCTAAATAATACTTCCATGCATTTAGCACGGGAATGTAATCCATGTTGATGCATGCTTCTCTTATGTCGGCCCTGTAGATTTCTACAGCCTCTAATGTTATCTTGTGTTGTCTGTCGAATACCATGTGTATTAGGGTAGTCTCCTCCTATAAGGAGAAAATTCCCTGCTTGGTGGCATACTGGGCCAGTGACGGAAATTTGATGTTTAGGTGAGGGTCTAAATATTGAGAATATCTTTCAAGTATTGAGAAAAAGGTAATTTTAATCAGTATTTGTTCACGTATACTTGATTGGTCTCAAACTTTAGGAGTGTATAGAGGGGTTAAAATAAAACAACTTTCGAAAAGGAATCTGTGTTCACAATGTAATCCTGAGTTACTACAAGCCTTTTAGGGACATATCAAAAGCACCATTAATAAGATACCATGGATGACCTGTAAACATTGTTAGCCAGAATTCTTGCAACAGCAGATGTGGTCTGATATTTGAGAGGATACGCCAGAGATTCCTTTTATCATTGCCTACACTGAGTGTGGGAATAGCCAATTTGAACAAAATTTCTAACAGTACCAATTTGTATGTACTACATTTACATTTGTGTACTCTTTTTTCGTTATGAAACGTTCATTCATTGGTATTACATTGTCCTACTGTCTGTAGTACA